TAGATTCAGAGGTAAGGAGAATTTGGGGGCCTAATGACTTCCTGATGTTTGATAGGTGTTCCCTCGGAAGCTAGGAATTCCCTTTCTCTCCATATTGCTGCGTGGGCATGGAGGACTAGGTAAGCATACTTAGAGTCTGTATATATATTTACCTTTTTTCCTTCTAATTCTAGTGTACAATGGCCCCTGCTTTTGCTAGGATGTCTCTCCCTAACAAAGGAGTGGGGCTTTCGGGCATAATTAGAAAGGCATGTGAGAAGAGTCAAGTTCCCCAGTCACAACTTAGTGGCTGGGAGAAGTATCTAGTGACCGCCTGTCCTAGGACCCCTCGGAGAGCGACAGATCTGGAGGACAGTTGTCCAGGACAGGAGAGTAAGACTGAGAAGGCCGCACCAGTGTCCAGGAGACAGTTAACCTCCTGGCCCTCAATGGTCAAGCATACCCGGGGCTCTGTGAGGGTGATGGCATGGGCTGGCGCTTGCCCCAGGCTCCCTCAGTCCTGCTGCTGGATCATCTGGTTAGTGGCTTCTGACTCAGAGGACCTTTGTCCCCCAGGGCAGTGGGCCTTCCAGTGATTCCCTTGCATAGGGGCATGGACGAGGGGGCAGCTAATTTCTATTCGGACAATCTTTTGAAAGTATCCTTGTAGACCGCACTGGAAGCAAGCCCTATTAGGCATTTGATTTTCCCAGCCTTTCCCTCTTCCAGAGCCTCCAAAATCCGCTTACCTGAGGGCCATGACTAAAGCGGTGGGGTGGCCTTTTTTTTTTTTTTTTAATCCTGTTTGTCCCGTTCCACCTGCTCCTCCTGATCTCTAGTATAAAAGAAACCGAGGTTGCCAAGTTCAATAGCATTTTTAAGTTTTGCTCCAGTCCTAAGACAGACTTTGAAAGTTTTTTCTAATGTCTGCAGCTGACTGAGTGACAGACCTATCCTTTAAGATAGTTGGCCTTCAGTAGAGTCAGGTGACAGAGAGGTATGCTTCCTCAATGCCTCCCTTTGTCTCTCCAGAAAGGCAGTAGGATTTTCTTCCTTTCCCTGTGTTATAGTGGACATCACTGAATAATTCATAGGCTGCTTCTTGGTTTTCCTTTGTCCTTCTAGCACACAAGTTAGCAAACGTCTGCAGCACCAATCTCTGTGTTCTGATTCTGTGTCCCAATGAGGGTCTACACTGGGAACTGCCTGCTGGCCTGCGGGGAATCATTCTCTTTCCTCTGTTGTCATCCTGTCATTGACCTGACTGAGATACCAGAGATGGCCAAACTCTTGGGCTGCAGTTATGGCGGCACTTCTCTCATTTGGGGTTAGTGTCTGATCTAGCGGTAATGTTCTCTCTCCGTGTCAGATCAAAGGATTGTCCTAACCCTCGTGAAACATCAGTATAGCCATCAGGGTTATCTGAGAATTTACCTAGGTCTATTTTAATTTGTTTCAAGTCTGAGAAGGAAAAAGGTACATATACCCTGACTGGGCCGAATTCTCCAGAATACATCTTACGGGCGTTTTTTGTCTTAGGGGGAACATTTCCCATCTGAAAAAAAAAAATAGGGATGCCAGCACCCCTAGTCATTTTTCAATGAGCATTAGTCCTAGAGCGTCCTCTAAGGTCCTGATGCTTATTCCTTTCCAGGGTGCGTAACCGCCCTCAGACCTCTGCCTATCAGATTCATTACGCTCACCAATGTCGCAGTCCTACTCCCCTTTTCCCACCTTTCTTGACTACAAAGAAAGGGGTCCGGCCTGCTGTATTCTAGTGGTCCTTTACCAGCGTGACCAACATTGTCTTTGTGCTCAGGGGTGAGTTCTAGAGCTGGGCTGGGTTCCTGAGGATTTCATAACAACCCAGCCGCCCCATCAAGATGCACTCCCATAAATAACAGTTCTTATGCAAATTCATTTCAGAGAGGGTGTAGGTAACCTTTTGAGTCAGGATAGAGAGAGAGTTTTTTGATTCTGTGAGTACTTTAAGGCTTGGCTGAGTGCAAAGAGCTCCCACGTTTGAGCAGACCAATTATTAGGCAAATTTCCTAACTCTGCTTCTAGAAGAGTTTCCCTATAAATTACTGAATACCCATCGTGGGCTTCCCCCCCACCCCCCCTCCCCCAGTCACCCGGGAGGAACCATCTATGGTCCTGTCCTGAAGGGAGTTCCTCCTAGGTCTAGTCAGACCTTTGTATGGTAATTAAGATTTAAATTCCTTGTTAGGAAACCTGCTTGGTTAAGGGAATTTTTAGTGGTTTATGTTAAATCACCTTTTCCTTACACCTATACTTTTAGAATGTTGAGTTAGTAAGCTACTTTTTTGCTTATTTTTACTTAGGATAGTGCTGAACTGGTGAGGTGTGCTTACAATGAGGTTTCCTCTAAAAGTTATTTTTCTACTTCTAGCAAAGCAGTTGATGGAATGCATTTGGGCCATCCACGGGTTACTGGGTTAAGGATTTTTGATAGGAAGGCTACTGGTTGTCAGTGGTCTCAATGCAGCACTTCTCACAGCGCGTTCCTGGGACACCTGGGGGTCCAGAGGCCTGTTAGGGTCTGTTTTCATAGTGATACTGAGCCAGCGTCACTCTTTTCCCCTCTCCTGCTATCCCCAGTGCACAGTGGCCTTACTGAGGTCCCATGGTGCATAATGACACAGGACAGAACACAGTGGATACGAGATCCCATGGCTTCTACTGAGCCCACCACTCATCTCTCATTTGATTGTTTTAGAAAATAGTTTTTAAAAATACATTAAAAATATGTTAACACAATGGGTTTATTGCTAACATGTATGTATTTAAAGCTATTTAAATTTTTAATAAGGTTAACATAATGGGTAAAATCCACAAAACAGAAGCTTTTTGGGGTTCTCGGCCATCTGGTCTGGAGACCAAAAAAATTGCGATCCCCCGTCCCCCGCATGGAGGGAAGAGTGTGCTCTGGCGCCCCCTGCCTAGACAGGCTGCTCTTGGCCACATGCTAGTTGTGTGGCTACTTGGGTAAGCCTTGGTTTGTCGTCTGTAAAATGCAAGTATTGCTAGTACTGCTCTCATAGGGCTTTCATGAGCTTTCAATGATATAACTAATTCAGATAAAGTGGATTATTTAGTGTGGAATAGACATTGCCTATTATCTTAATAATGGGAAAAAAGAAATACTTTAAAATTATTAGCATCCAACACATTTCCTAAGTGTTTTTTAATTCCCAAAGCCTTTCACAGTAACAGACCAGAGTTAGAAGAAATTTAGACATTTTTAAGTTATTCCAGTTTTCCAAGTAATAAAATTGGTTTTAAATTGGAATAAGCTTTTCCTGTGTTAAAATTCAGGTTTAGTTTTAGTTCTAGATGTTTGACTGCTTACTGTTATATCATGTAAAAATGATTTGAATGAAAATATAGAAAGAAGTAGACCATAGGGAATAATGAGAAACAATGTACTGAAATAGCTCCCATTTTGAAATTTTTCTGAATGTACATTTAAATATTATATGACTTAGTAAAAAAGAAGAAATTAAGTTAATGAGCAAAATGAAACTTTTTTTTGAATAATGGCTAATTTCCTGGTGGTGTGATGTGATTACTGGCTCTAATTTTATTCACTGGTAATGATGCAGGAATGACCAGTTGAGCAGTCAGCAGCCATCGTGCATTGTGTGGGAGCACAGAATCCTTGGGATCATTTCTATAGGGTCTGGGCAGTGGGGATGATCAGATCTGAGGCCCTTTACACAGCAGGGTCACTGAGCTGCAGCCTTGATAATTCTTCAGTTCACACAGTTCAAATCTGTGGAACAGTTGCCTCTATAATTTTAGTTGGGCCTGAATATAATCTTCCTGGTGTTTTATTTTAGTGACTGAAATATTCTCTCTGCACATATTATTCACCGGGAATGTCTTAAAGGATTGTTGTAATGGAAATTCTTTACTCTGATATACACTTGACTCTGACAGAATAGTGGGGCAGGTGGATAATCACCATTCCCATATGTGGGCAATATTGTGCTATTGTTATATTTGAAATCTGAAAATCAAATTTAAAACATAAATGATGTAAAACATAAGTCAAAAATATGGACAATTCTAAATACATATGACCCTTGAGCAATGTGGGGGTTAGGGGTACCAGCCTCCCTTAGGGTCAGAAATCCTTGTATGAATTTTGACTCTGCAAAGTGTAACTACTAATAGCCTACTGTTGACCAGAAGTCTTATCAATATCATAGTTCGTTAACATATTTTCTACGTTATATGTATTATATATATATTATACAGTATTCTTACAGTAAAGTAAGCTGAAGAGAATGTTAAGACAATCATAAGAGAAAATATATTTACTATTCTTAAGTATAGAAGTGGATCATCACGAAGGTCTTCATCCTCATCACCATTACCTTGAGTAGGCTGAGGAGGAGGAAGGGGAGGGGTTGGTCTTGCTGTCTCAGGAGTGGCAGAGGCAGAGGAAAATCCTCCTATAAGTGGACCCTCACAGTTCAAACCCATGGGATTCAAGGGTCAACTGTATTTGGTTTTGCTTAGTTGACCTTTTAAATCAACCAACTTATTTGAGACAGTAAGTTTAGATAAGATGTAATCATGCAAGATAAGATGTAATCATGCATTTTAGAGATCAGCTCTTGTTCAGGTGAACCCCAAAATATAGTTCTGAGACAGATTAGCTGATCTCAGTATTCTAGTACCCAAGCTTTACCATTTAATATTATATATGAATAGTTATAATTATTGTGTTCTGGGCAAGCTATGAGAAATCCCTTGTAAACTGTAAGCTAAATTTTACTATTTTTATTTTTTTTTAGATGGAGTCTTGCTCTGTCACCCAGGCTGGAGTGCAATGGCATAATCTCGGCTCACTGCAACCTCCACCTCCCAGGTTTGAATGATTCTCCTGCCTCAGCCTCCCGAGTAGCTGATATTTCAAGTGCATGCCACCACTCCCAGCTAATTTTTGTATCTTTAGTAGAGACGGGGTTTCACCATGTTGGTCAGGCTGGTCTCGAACTCATGACCTCAGGTAGTTCACCTGCCTTGGCCTCCCAAAGTGCTGGGATTACAGGCGTGAGCTACTGCAACCAGCTACTATATTTCTTTAATCGCTTTTCAGTTACACCTACTGTTCTGAAGTTAAACGTAGCCATCTCTTTGGCGTAGCTTCCCTTGCTGGGAACTGCTGCCGGCTGCTTGTGTCAACCGAAGGGTATTTGTAACGGATTCTTTTAACAGCCACAGCACCAGTGAGGGCCAGCGACAGAGGCTGCTTTCACACGTTCTATTCCAGGCCCAAGCCAATCTTTCTAACTTCTAATTTATAAGGAGCTGAAGGTTTCAAGTAGCAGAAGTAGCTGGGCAGGGGACAAGTGATGCTGTCATTTGGGTGCTTTTATCAGAGTCTGAAGAGGGGAGAGTCCGTCGGCAATGCTAACTCCTCCGTCACTCCTGGGGCTGCAGCCTCTCATGAGAACCCGAGCTCAGAACCCCTCATAGCGGCATGCTTTGCTCTGGAGGTTCTGGGGAGACAGGGAAGAGGCACTGCCCCTCCTACCTGGCCTGGTGACAAGGTAGCGGACACTCAGAATGTACTTTTCTGCCTCTTAAGGGTCCCACAAACTTACAGCTTTCCAGGTCTCCAAGCTTCTGGGCTGGGATGAGTTGTCTCGGAGGACTTGGAGAATCCCAGTTCCTCGTCCGGTCAGACATGTGCATTAATCTGACAAACTATCACTTTTCTTGGCTTAAAAAGGCCCAAATCGCTACTAGTTTGTGGGTGAGGGGTCACTTAATCCAGTCATCCTGATCTACCAATACTTTTTCCCTCTCAGCTTTAGTGTAAAAGTTGCAATCTGGTCTTGGATTTGCACTCCTGGGGTGGAGTCTTATCTCCTCCGTCCCCTTAGAGCCATGTGATGGCAGGTGTGTAGTTACCTCGCTTCTGTACGCCCAGTGTCCCAGCAGAATGGAGATAGCAGTGGAAGTTGGAAGCATTATGAGGCCACTAACCCACTCTCACCCCCAAACTGTCATTCCTTCTGAAGCATCCTAAGAGTAAGGAGACAGGAAGGAGAGAATACTGCACGAGCCCACCAATTTCGCACATTGCCACCAGCACCATCACCGCTTTTGAACTATGGGGCTCCAAACTCAGAAGTCTGAGTGTCCAAGTGTCCACTGATTTTTCTCCATAGCCTGCCTCTCCAGCTGTGACCCCCATAAGTGATATCTGATACCTCCCCTCGCCCCACCCCCATCCTCTCCTTCCTCACACTCCCTTCCAATCCTCCACTTTCCAGGCACAGAACTGTGGACCTTCTGCCGCCACTGATGTGCCTCTGGCCACACCCACCCAGAGATTCTAAAACCTGGAATAAAACACATTGTGGGGGAGCTTTCAGTATCTTAGGACCTCACCTGTCAAGCCGATTAACAGCCTGAGCCCACGGGCAGAGACAGGCTGGCAGGGATGGAGGGAAGGTGCCTGTGAACTGGGAGGTTTGTTTCAAAGCTGTGTTGGGGTGGTTTGGGAGGTGCTGGTAGAGATGATGGTGCCCAAACCTGTCACCCCAACCCAAGCTCTGGTGAGAAGCGTTTCCCACCACCTACCAGGTTTCCTTGACTCTCCCCTGTATCCACAGTGCAGTTCTCTGAGGCCACCAACAGTCAACAGGGGGAGGCATTGCTGCTGCCTGGGAGACTGAGGCAGCGGGGGGAGGGTGATGCTGTCCTGCTGTGACTGTTGGCACAGGGCACATTTGTGTTTACCCACATTTGAATGTGCTTTGGAGCTAACCTGGGGCCATAACCATCACACACCTGGTTTCCATCAGAAAAGCGTATCTGATGGGAAGTACTCTGTGGAGCTCTAAGCAGTTGATGATTATCCTGAAGTAATGCAGCGACGGCACACATGAAACGTTGACTTTTTGTTCCATCACTTTGCAATTTTTCAATTATTTATTAAACAAACATTTGAATATCGTAGGATGTCTTCATGTGTCTACAACCAGAATGTAAATTGCCAGTGAAGATTTATCTCATTAATTCTGAATCTCTGCTACAGTGATAAATATATTGCTTTGCTCACAGGAATCATTAAAGGGACTTAATATCTAATACTTGCTATGTAATCAGCATTATATAGCTGAAACTGAACTATTTTGCCTGTTCATAGATACTGATAGAATTAAATTCAAATAGAATTTGAAAGTGACTCCTCAAGGGGTGGCTGTGAACACTATGTAAGATTCACCGAAGGTCTTTTCTCCACTCTCAGCTCCAGCCCGCTTTTCTCTGTGAAGCAGGATGCGTGGGGCAGCAGAGCTGTATTTACTCGCGGTGCCCTTCCCGCTGTCTCGAAGGCACGGGGAAGGCTACAAGGGATTTTCTCTCAAATGTGCAGGGCCTCCACCTATGACTCCGGAAGGCTGCCGGCTCCCCCAGGGGGCTGCTCCTGGCTTTCGATGAACTAAATTAACCTCGGGCCACCACCGGAGCGCCAGCTGGGGGAGCCCCGGGATGCCTGGCGCGCGCTCTGCCCTCCGCTGTCCTGGCACTTTGCTCCCATTCAACAGTCGGTGGTGACACCAGCTGGGCACAGCCCGGGGCCTGGCAGGGCTGCGTCCTTAGCGAGCGCGCTGGGCTCCTCCTCCTGCCGGCCCGGCCCGCGTCTCAGCCGTGGGGACCCGGGGGCGCCGCGACTCGCCCACAGTTGGACGGCGGGAGGCGGTTCCCGCAGGGTCCAGTCCCGGAAGCACCGAGTCAGAGGGGAGCCCCTGGCCCCAGGAGGAGGGGAGGGTGGGAGCTCCTCTCTTGGAGTCCCCGGGTTTGGTCGCCGGGATGTGAGGAAGCCGGAGAGGCCGCGGCGGGACGCAGGTGGGTGTGGCGGAGCAGCCCGAACTGCGGGGACCCGCTCCGCGCACAGTGGCTGAGCGCCCGCCTCTTCTTCTAGCGGCTGAGGATCCCGCGTCTCGGCAGCACCATGCCCTTCCCTCCCATGCAGCCGCAGACCGCCCCCGCACCGGGGGCCCAAGCCGCGCGCCACTTACCCCGGAGGCCCTGCGCCGCGGGGGACAAGAAGAGGCCCCCACAGAGGCCCGAGGGGTTCCTCTCCAGCTCCTGGCCCTCCGCCACGCTCAAGAGGCCGCCGGCCCGGCGCGGCCCCGGCCGGGACAGGACGCAGCTGCCGGCCCCTCCGGGCGTCTCCCCCCAGGCCTCGCCCTGCCGCTCGCTGGCCCCAGCCACGTGCGCCCCGCCCCGGCCAGCCGGCTCCGGCCACAGCCCGGCGAGGACCACCTACGCGGCGACCTCAGCAGGGACGGGGACCACCGCCGCAGGGACCTCTTCGGGGACGGGCGCCGGTCCCGACACCGCTGCGCGCTTCTCCCTGAACCTCACCCCGGAGGCCGTCCTGGTCATCCAGAGGCGTCATCTGGAGAAGCAGCTGCTGGCGCGGCCTCGCAGGCCCTTCCCCTCACCCTCGGCCGAACCCAGGCGCCTACTCACTCCCTGTCCCCGGGCTAGGGCCGCGGGCCTGCGGAGGGGTGGCCCCGCCAGCGACCCCGACGCATCCCCAGCAGCTGGCCTGGGCCGCCGCGACCCTCTGCCCCGCGCCCAGCTGCTGTCCGGCGGCCTGCAGGTTCCCCAGCTCAGCCCGCGGTCGGGGGCCCTGCGCCCGATGCTCAAGGTGTCGCTGCTCAACGAGCGGCACAGGTACGACGACGTGGAGTACGAGGAGGAGCCCGAGGCGGTGGACGAGGGCCTGGTGCGCAAGTGCACGGAGTGGCTGCGCGGCGTGGAGTCGGCGGCTGCCGCGCGGGGCCGGGCCGGGGCCCTGGACTCACGGCGGCACCTGAGCACGCTGTGAGCCCAGCTGTCCTGCGGGGACAGGCCAGACCTGATCCCACATCACCTCCTGCACGCACCACTCCGCCTGGGGACCCTCGGGGGAGACCACAGGCTCCTCTGGCCGCCAGCGCCCACTTCCGGGACACCCGTGAGCAAGCTGGCCCGCGTGGGGTGCAGCCAGACTCGCCCGACGGCCACGGCCCCCCTCCTGCCCTCACCAGCAGGCAGCCCGGGCCTTTCTCGGTCACACTGGTGGTATCTATCCCAGTCGCTCACCTCTGCCCCACTCTGGCCTCCTTTTGGCGTCCCCGAGTGTCCATGCAGTTCGTGGGGAATTAAGCAACTGAGAAAATGCCTCTCGGCGCCCCCAGTCCCAGGGTTCGTCTAGGTCCCAGAGACCCTCTGCCTGGAGGCGGGCCTTCCCCAGGGCTACATCTGCACCCCCTGCGGTGTCACCCTCAGCCGTTGCCGGGCACCCTGGACAGTGCGGTGGGCGATGGCCCAGGGTAGGTGGCCGCGACGGTGGCCTCCTGCAGAGCTGGGACCCGGTGCTACATTTGTGATTTTGTTTTCTCCCAAGTCAGAAAAATGTTGAGGGTATTAGAAATCCCTGAAACTCAGTTAACCGAGTTTCCAGTCGCCAAAGCGGAAGGGTAGGCATCGCCAGGCGCTGGTGAACCCCGGTCAATGAGTGCTTCCATGGAAACCGCTTGGCTGATTACATTTTTTCGGTGTATTATTTGAATAGAGAGTAAAGCTCCTCTGCTGTTTCGTAACCATACCCTTTCCCCCGCTAACTGGAGGCTGATTTCTACATATTTCTTCCATGTATCTGAGAATATCTAACTCGAAGGATGAGAAGGAAATAAAATGTTATAATCAGATAAGGCTGGTTATAGAAGAGTAATGTATTACCTCAAGTTTTGACTTACTTTGTAAAAGCCAATAACTGGTTTAATGTTTATCTTGATAGACTTTAAATGTATCGAGTCCTAATTGTATTTTAAATTGAAGCCTTACATTTTTAAAAACAGATTTTGTGTTTTTCTCGTGGAGGTCTTTGCTCTAATCTCTCTCTCTCTCCACCCCCATCCCCCTCCCCCCCCCTTCTCCTTCTAGGCACCCATTTAGTTAGATGTGAAGCATTTAATTCATTGGGAGCTAGGTCAGCTGCCAGATAAGTTGCAAAAACAAAAACAAAAACAAACCTACCCATTGAATAACTTCTTTGAATCTGGAGATAAGTTTTCTTTTACGTGAAATGAATATATTAATACTAGAGGGGCAAAACTAGCAATGCTTGCTGAAGTGATGCTGCTGCTGTTGTTCCACCCCCACCCAGATGGTCTCTGAGTGCTCCATCCTGGGCAGGGCACACAGTCTGGAGCGGAGAGGGTGGGGCAAGAGTGCACTGACTCCAAGCCGAAGGCAGGAGCGGCTCGACTTGGTCTCATCTTGCACTTAGTGCAAATACCAATAATTAAAATGCCTAGACTTCTGCCCTTGGCCACAGTAACAACAACGTTTTGAAGACTTTTCCCTGGTGGCATCCTAGAGGGACCAACTTTCTGCAGCCTCTGTCTTCCAAGCTGAGCTTCTGCTGCCGTGTGCCTGTCCCTGCACCTGTGTATCCCTGACGTCCCTGTCAGCTGCTTCATTTTGATTTCCTTTCTTCTCCCGCTCTTTCTCCAGGCTCCGTCCCAGCATCTCCTGTTCTTAACTGGCCACAATACAACACTAAGCACATTTTTTCGTAATTTGCATTTATTAAATCGAGTTTGTAGGCCTTGTTCTCTACTTTAAAAGCAGATGAGTGGAACATTTATGTTTCTCTGGTCAATGAGCCTCAATAAAAAACAAACAGAAAAAAAGGTTTGACACGTGACACATGATATCTTTTCACTGCTGTGAAGGACATTTTGAGAAAGTTTTCTAAGTTGCTATGCTCCAATTTCTTAATGCTTAAATAAAAGAGAAATTCAGTGACTTGTGCTTCTTTTTGAGGAGGACACTGAAAACTGGTCAGGAAGAGACCACTGAGGGATTGACAATTCACATGACATGGTTTCTTCAGAGTGGCGTGCAACCTAAGTTTCTGTGATTTCCAGGAGTTGACAAAGGTTTGATGGTTTTAATCACTACTAGAATTTTTAAGCATCACTACCAGGATTTTTAAGATAGTCAAATACTGTAAGGTTATTTGGCGCCGGGCGCGGTGGCTCAAGCCTGTAATCCCAGCACTTTGGGAGGCCGAGGCGGGTGGATCACGAGGTCAGGAGATTGAGACCATCCTGGCTAACACGGTGAAACCCCGTCTCTACTAAAAAAAATACAAAAACCTAGCCGGGCGAGGTGACGGGCGCCTGTAGTCCCAGCTACTCGGGAGGCTGAGGCAGGAGAATGGCGTAAATGCGGGAGGCGGAGCTTGCAGTGAGCTGAGATCCGGCCACTGCACTCCAGCCTGGGCGACAGAGCGAGACTCCGTCTCAAACAAACAAAAAAAAGTTTATTTGGCAATGACACTTGACCTTTCATGGGGCCACAAATCTCCATGAAAACTATATTCCAGAAAGACTCCTAAAACCATGTACCACATAGCAACAAAACATTGCATATAATTTGCATATATTTTAGGAAGCTCATGGGTCCCAGGTTAGGGACTCCTCCTGTATACACTCACTAAAATATTTTTTTCTTTTGCCTACAGTAATTTCAAACTGGGAGGCCATACCAATCGGAAATTAAAGGGTCAATTTGAATAATGGCTAGACTATTAGATAACTATTATATTACTATCAAATTCTCCCATAACTGTGCTGGCTCATAGCAGGGACTGAGGGGGACTTCCACCCCAGGAAAGTAAATTGGGTGCCACTATGTAAGTAAAAGTATTGCCAATTGCAAAAGCTGAGCATGTATGTGACTTAATTCCATCTATTTAGAGAATCGCTGGCGCTTTAAGATAGGTTTTTATGTTGATCTGCCTTATTTCTAGAAAAGTGGATGCCAAGTTTTCAGAACCATTAATTTTGGGGTTTCCCTGGAAATTACGCAATTCAGATTAGGGTGGGTGATCTGTGGGATCTTTGCTTTTCAGCATGGTCATTTCAACCAACCATTGTATATCATTCAAAGAAAGTCTGAAAATAATAGTCTCTGTAGTAAGCAAGGACACTTTTGCATCAACAGAAATGCACATGCAGGCCTTTGTGACCTGCGGGAAACCTGGATTGATGTGGTTCCCCAGCATGGCCTCTGTCCAGATGCTGTCTGGATAAGGACACAGCTGTAGTGGTGGCCCCATGGCCTGGCTTGGAGATGGAGCACCCCTCAGCATTGTGCGGGAGAACCGCACCATGGTTCAAGGTGGGTTTTGGTGCCCTGGAGGCTGAAGTTCCCACACTGATGCTGTCATTTATCCATGTGTTTCATTAAACTTCCATGTCTGTTTCATCTTCTGTCTGTGGGGATAGTTGAACATAGGTGACCCTGGTGAGGATTGTGAGGCAATATGCAAAGCGTTCCCCCAGCTCAAGGTTAACTGTAATTTTTACTATTTCAAAAAAGTCTTTACTCAAAAAACATCCTTCTCTGTCACTCATGTGCACATTGGAAACCCTCCCTGGTTACAGCATTCTGAGATTTTTATCTTTAACCATTTAATGCACACCTACACTTTTATTTTCCTGAGGAATTAAAACATTACAATGTCTATTGTGTTTTGCCTTCTTATCTCACACTTAATTATTATGTTACGAGCACAAAATTTAGCTCTGAGCTACCTGGTAGCAGAGACAAAGTTTAAAGTAATGAGTCATATAACCTCAATATCCAATAACAAGAAACACTTTTTGGAGAAAATTATTATGTGTGTATTTGAATTATATACAACATAATGGATAGTATACTTAAATGCAGCTTCTCGAAGATGCCTAAATGTTCTTGTTGTTTTTTTATTTTTTCAGACGGAGTCTCACTCTGTCGTCCAGGCTGAATGCAGTGGTGCGATCCCAGCTCACTGCAAGCTCCGCCTCCCGGGTTTACACCATTCTCCTGCCTCAGCCTACACAGGCGCCTGCCACCAGGCCTGGCTAAATTTTTTGTATTTTTAGTAGAGACGGGGTTTCACCGTATTAGCCAGGATGGTCTCGATCTCCTGACCTCGTGATTCACCCACCTAGGCCTCCCAAAGTGCTGGGATTACAAGCGTGAGCCACTGCGCCCGGCAGAAGATGCCTAAATGTTCTTTACATCACTGTTAGCTCTTGATGAAAGCCAGTGGGGCCATCATCAGTGACATCCTTCCTGGAACTGGACCATCCCACCTTATGGAGGTGGCATAGATGGAAACCTGCAAAATACGGTAGGGAATCTTCAGGAAGCAGTTTTAGATCTGCTCAAATATTTAGCAAGTACTGCCCTAGAACCTCAGACAATTCTACATCAGTCCTTAAATGTTTGGGCTCATGACCTCTTTCTAGTCTCAAAAATTATTGAAGGGGAAAAAAGCATTGAGGGAAGCCAAAGAACCTTCTTCAGTGCGGGTTTATCTATCAGGACTTCCTGTATCAGAACTTAAAGCAGAGACCCCAGAACAGTCAAACTGCTGGTTTCATCCATACCATGTCAGCTCCTAGTGCCTGCTATAAGAGCTGGCTTAGCTGCATCTGAAATGGACAGGAAGTGTTTTAAGAAACATACTTTCCAGACTTCAGACCTAAGGATACTACTAGTTCAATAGATCTGGGAAAGGGCTGATGTGCCACCAGGTTGGGAGCCATTGCTATATGGCAAGAAATACAAGACCAGGCTCAGGAAATACTTCAGGCAGATTTTATTGAAGGTGGATTTAACCAACTATGTCCTCTCAGAATAGACACTGCAATGCTACCCTGTCAATATCAGTCTCCTTTTCTAGGTAGTTATGTCTCCCTTCCTGGCCATGTGTTTTCACAGGAGGGAGGGTAGGATGCAATGACCAAAAATAACTAAAGTGACCCCATGTCATCAGCCTAGGCACCGTCCACCTCACAGAATTGGGAGTGCTGGCCACTCCACTTCTTGGGGGCCTTGCCCCAGATCTCATTCATCCCAAGTCCTCTCCGTTGATGACTGATGTCCTAGGTCTTCCCTCATCTACCTCTGTCAGCATAATTATGAGGGCCTCCCATATACAAGCTTCCACAACACACACATGCCACTCCTGATGCCGTCGTGTCACCGGAGTGGGAGGGCAGACTCTGAGAACTGCAGATGCATGGCCGTGTCCTGAAAAGCCAACCCCAGACAGTGCACAGAGCTCAACACCTGATTTTATGAGGAAATTATAACAAGTATCTATTGAATATTTCACTTTGAGCCGCGTAGTATGCCAGCAGGCCCAGAACGGTTCAGTTATTCATTCAAAAATATTTACCCTGCGTCTACAGGATGAAGGGTATCTGAGATACAAAACTAACTGGAACTGTTCCCTATGTAATCGAATGGGTTGGCCTGTTCAAAGGTGTATCCAGGTCTGCCAAGAGCAATGCCTTTGGTTTGAGGACAGTCAATATTGAGTGGTTCTCTTTTTTTTTTTTTTTTTTTGAGACAGAGTCTCGCTCTGTCCCCTGGGCTGGAGTGCAGTGGCGCGATCTCCACTCACTGCAAGCCCCGCCTCCCAGGTTCATGCCATTCTCCTGCCTCAGCCTCTTGAGTAGCTGGGACTACAGGCGCCCGCCACCATGCCCAGCTAATTTTTGTATTTTTAGTAGAGACGGGGTTTCACCGTGTTAGCCAGGATGGTCTCGATCTCCTGACCTCGTGATCCGCCCATCTCGGCCTCCCAAAGTGCTGGGATTACAGGCATGAGCCACCACGCCCAGCCTGTTGAGTGGTTCTTTAGGACAGCCATTGATCTGTATTTGTTTACTTGGGCCAACTTAACAGAATACCAACACTGGGTGGCTTAAAAAACAGATTTATTTTCTTATAGTTCTGAAGGCTGGATGTTCAAGATCAAGGTGCCGGCAAGGCTGGTCCCTGGTGAGG